GGTCTTTTCCACCTTAATGATTCTGTGATTCAGTGAAACCCTGATATAGTGATAGATTTCTTCTTGAGTAAAAGAAGACCAAATTTTGTCTTGCAATATTTGTTTCAAACTTATCAGCGTCTTTTAGTAGGTCATGAACTTTCAGCCCCTCTTTCAACACCACCTTGAAATTGTTGCAGAGGGAGAAGCTCTTATGGTGGATCCGTTGGAATGGCTTTTGTGGGTACCATCTGCTCACAAGTCCGGGGAGGGTCAATCAGCACTGTAAGTACATAATGTTGTGGTTAATAGAAGAAACTAGCACAGGAGCTGCTAAACTGTTCCAGATATGCTGCTAGTGGGACAAAGAGGTACCTGAGTAATTGAAGGCTTCCCCCTGTGCATTTACAAAACCCAGATTTGTACATACTACTATTGCCAGACATTGCTTCTACAGAGGTACCTTCCAGAACATCCTAATAAATAACGTGCACTTTGTTGACCTGTTTGGTCAAGTCACCCCAGTCTTGGAGACTAGACTTGTAGCTGTATGGTTTCTTTCATGGGGCTCCTTATGTAAAGACTTGCGCATATTTTTATGCATGTATATTTTTTAAAAAAGCATTTCCCAATTTCTCTCATCATCACTTCCAGTCCACTTGTCTGATTTAGTCCTGAGATAATTTTTTTATCACCTTTAGTAATTCATCTAATTCAAGGCTGCATAAGAAAAGCCCATCCTCATACCATTAAAGTTCATAACCACAGTGGTTTTGGGATGGGAATGCAGCTACAATATAATGCTTATTTGTTACATGGATAGAAAGTGAACATAATGCACTATATTCTCAAGTGTCTAGAATTCCCCAAAATAAGGCTGTAAATAGGCAAAAAATTTAAAACTGGTAAAATTAGTAAGAAACTATTTTTTTCGCCTTCACCCGTGGGGCAGAACCAGTATCTCCAGAGGTTCCTGTCCTTAACAGTATGGATGCCACAACATCGTGGACAATCTCAGAAGCAGCCTGCATTCTTTAACAGGACAATTTGTCATTGAAGACTCCATTGAAATCAGTGTCATATCTGATTAACTGTGTCATTGTGTAGCATATGATCCTAATGGAAGGACTGGAAAGAGTGGCAGAATCTGTCCCTACCTGAAAATAAATAGTGACAAATTGTCTCTTCTTGCTGCTTTTGCTTTATAATACAATTTAGTATTCTGTCTTCGTAGCCTCTGAGAACTTTGTGGCTTGAATAAATCAGTATGTAGAAACACAGTATTTTCTTTAGTTTCACAATCATTTTTTTAACACTGATTCTCTTTATTAGTTGAATCATAACAATGTGTTACATCATGCTACAGTAGTTGCACATGAATTGGGGCATAATCTCGGAATGAAACATGACGATAAAAGGTGTCCTGCGTCCTATATTATGCACAGTACAGATAAGTAAGATTTCCAGTTATTTTATTTTAATGATTGTTATTTATCTGCACTGACTATGCCTTATAAGCTGTGAAACTCCCATGAATCTTGAAGAACTTTTGGGAACGGGGAGCTGTTTGAAAAGTTTAATCACAGAGCTCAATTCACTGACTTAGGTCTTGACATAATTTTAATTTATTTGAAATGTTATCTGTTTTCCGATGCAGTCATGCTTTATCTGTAGCACTCCTGAAAACTTATTTGGATTTTCTTAATTTTTTTTTCATGATAGTGTGTTGCTGTTTGTTTTCACGCTGCTGAGAATGCTTTCCCTATATATTCACTGGGCTTGTGCAAACATGCATCCTTTGCACAGATTCTTTTAACAGTTAATTTAAACAAAACCTCTCAGCCAATGTATCTTTCAGTTCATTTCTTGTTTGGCTTCCCTTAAGAGAAAAAGATCATATTATTTTACCTATCCATTTTGTATTAATAAATCAGAGTAATTGAACACTGGACAAAACTACTGTGAGAAGATGCATTCCTGTGTTCTTAGGGACCCCAAGTTAAGGTGAATGTCTTTCTGGAAAGTATTTTCTAATGAAGTATTTTTAGACCCAGTACAGACAAGGAATTTCTAAGGCCTGCTTTATATAGGACACCAGAATGGATAATCCAATGATCTCTTTTGCTTCTGAAAGTATTTGTATTTATGTTATATATAGCGTCTTTTAACTTCTGGTACTGTACTCTAATGCAAAATAAAGTGAAAATGAAGTATCTCATGATCTCCTAAAGTTATGAAACAAGGTATTTATTATAAATTGACAATATTTTAGAGGGTTTGAATTGAATTTTTTCCTGTAAGCAAAATATTTATAATAATAAATACTATTATGCTTTCCAGTGGATCCAGGAATTTCAGCACCTGCAGTGCTGATGATTTTGAGAACCTTATTCTAAATGGAGGAGGAAACTGCCTTAGGAATCCTCCCAAAACCAGTAATATTTACAAAGAACCTGTCTGTGGTAATAATGTGGTTGATAACAATGAAGAATGCGACTGTGGCAAACCGCAGGTAATGAATTAAATGGAACAGGATACTTGTATATTATAGTATAGTATAGTATATCATATCATATCAGTTGTATAATACTGGCCTTTTGGTATATCTAATTTGCATTATTTTGCAAGCAATATGAATATAAATTTTAGAAAAAGCCTAAAATCATACTTTGATTTTGATATGAACTCAGTTAGGGGTTCCTGGACTTCACAGAGCTTTGAGCCAATGCTTAAGAAAGTGCATTTTAGCACAGAGTATGTGGAAATGCCCGTGTTTTTTGTGCTGGTTTTAACAATGTGGATACTTCTGTTACATAGAAGAGACTACTTATCTCTAGAGCACTTACAGGTTTCCTAACTGTAACCTTTAAACTTAGTCCACAACACTTTTGTTGGTCATATTTGCATTGTCAAAATGTCCCTCAACACATGGGATATATTGATTCATTCTTTAGAAAACAGAAGTGCCTCAAAAAACACACCTATAAATTGAAAGGCTGTCAGCAAACCCTGGTTCCATTGTATAGGCCTTCTTCTAAGTCATTAAAATATACAAATATTTCTCTACATCCAACTGCTAGTGCAGTGAAAAAATAAGATGGGGGAAGAGGTGATAAGAAGTGTTACTTAAAAACCAAAGTGTTGCACTTCTTTTAGTGTCCATTTAAAGTGTAAACCTATCCTATAGCCCTGTGCCACAACACATCAAAAGAGATGTTTTTTCTGATGACTTGTAGTAAAAAAATACAGCCAAGCTGTATGCCGGTTTCCGTTAGAGCAGAGGCCTGTCAACCTCAGAACATGCAAGAGCGACAGTGTATGTAGAGTTTAGTTTGTCTGTGCACTTGGTTTGATGGTGTGCTTTCCTAGCTATATGGCGCAGTAAAAACAGTGTCCCCGTGTCCATGGCTGTTCTGCAGGAATGTACTAACCCGTGTTGTGATGCTGCAACCTGCAAACTCACGCCTGGATCGCAATGTGCTCAAGGACTGTGCTGTGAAAATTGCAAGGTAGGCTGTGGTTTATTAAGCTAAATTGATACTTATTACTGGTATTTTTTTTATGTTTGAAAAGAGCTGTTGTACTATCTCGTGACATATTTTCACATTATCAAACTACATTCACAGCAGAGAGCATGTAAGCAGAGAATTTGTCTAACAACTCTTGGCCAGTGGCTCAGAAATGGAATGTAATCTCTGCGTCACCCCTCGTAGGAGGCAGGAGCAATCAGGGCACTCAGTAGTAGTGATCTCCATTGTGCAACACCAAGTTTCTCCAAAGCCTGCGATAGTTGGATGCTTTTTAATTTGTACTTGTGTATGCATTTGTATGATCTACCCAAGTCCTCTGCAGGCTCAGCTCATAAACTTTATGACTACACCATATGAAACCGAGGGAAGTTTTGGATATTCGTTACGTATTGGTCTGAAAGGTCTTCCTTAAAATTACAAGTTTCCCAGTTGTCGTTGTTTCATGTAGAACTGCTGCTGCTGCAAAGTAAAAGTAGGGTGGCATTCCTCTCTGATTCTAGTTTAAAGTGGCAGGAGCGGAGTGCAGATCGAAAATGGATTTCTGTGATCTACCTGAATACTGCAATGGAAGCAATGCCTACTGTCCAGATGATGTTTATACCATGAATGGCTACCCTTGTGACAGCATGAAGGCATATTGCTACTATGGAGTATGCCAGAGTTTTGATTCACAATGTGAATCTATATATGGAAAAGGTATGTTTATAATGTAATGTAAAAAGACTTTTAGTCTCCAAATAGACATCTCATATTTTTCTTTTTCTTTCTCATATTTTTAAGACAGTGTAGTGGCTTACTGAGATTCATTATTTTTCATACAGGGGCACGAAAAGCACCTGATATATGCTTTGAAAAAGCAAATATTAAAGGAGATAGGTTTGGAAACTGTGGAATGACCGGTGGAGTGTACAAGAAATGTCCTGTTCAGTAAGTCACCAGCAATAAAAACTAACCCTAAAACCTTCAATGTGAAAAACATATTGTTACAAACTCTCAGAGCATGAGATTTAAGAGAAGAATATTTGCTTGAAATGCAAGCTAAAAAGCTTGGCTAGACAGTCTGTTTGCACTGATACTGGGTTTTTTTCTGCTCACCTTGTCTCTGAGTGTTATTCGTTCAATACAGGCACAGTCTGTGTGGCAAGCTCCAGTGCACATCTGTTAGTCTCCAAAATCTTCCCGCTTGGAGTGTTGTCAATAATGCATCTGGGGTTTTGTGCTGGTCTTCTGACTTTGACTTAGGATCAGATGTCCCTGATCCTGCTCAAGTTCATGATGGAACAGCCTGTGGAGAAAAGAAGGTACGATGAATCACAGCAGCATTACAGAATATATTGCACCAACTGGAACGTTCTTAACTTTCAAAAGCACTACATAGTTCTCTTATTTGTATGCCATAATGTAATAAAAAAATCTGCTTTTTCAGATATACACATACAAAAAATTGATTAGCTCTTCAAAAACTGGGGTGCTACAAATCAGTGAACTACATCATTGGTTATTCAAATTACTCCATCAAAATGCATCCACTGACTTAAGAAAATCTGAGACAAATACAGCTATAAAATTGTGGAGTACTGAATGTTCTATCAGCCCTTTCTCTTGACATTTAAGCAAAAGCTGTAAACTTGTAAATGTATACATTTATATACTATATTTATAAAAGGATGGGATATTTTGAAGTTTTGTCTCTGAAAGACACTAAATACTTTTTCCAGGCCTGTGTAGATTTTGAATGTGTTGATGCAAGTCATCTGGGCTACAGCTGTGATGTAAAGCATAAGTGTAATGATAATGGGGTGAGTAGATTGTGTTTTCATGCCCTGTTTCTAGAAGACAAGAAATAGGTGTAAAATCCCTGCATAAAAGCAATAGCTAGCCAGATGACTTTGGTTTTTTCCTGATTTGTATTAAAAGTTAAGTTCTCTTTTTTATCTGTAATTCATGTTGCCAGTAGACTGTAAACGTCTTAGCACCAACATTGAAAGACATTTCTTCTGAATTTCCCTAGGCAATTTTCTGATATTACTGAGATGTCAAGTTGTGAAAGGAAAATAATCCTTTGAGGAGGACAGTCCAGTGAATCCTGATTTTTATATTTCTATATGGAAAATTAAAATGGAGTCCAAAGGTTGTAAAACCGATAAGTTCTTTGGACTGTAATATATTGCAGGCAAATAAGAAAACAAAGATTCACTTCTATAGGGGATGAACTTCTGGACTGGTATCGCTCAGTGTTTTGGGATGTTAAGGAGGGGGAGAGCTTACTGCCAGCTAATGCTTCATTTATTTCTATGCAATACTATGCAATACTTCCTGTTTCCACGTGCAATTCTTAATGTGTAACTCCAGATAGATACTGGAGGTTGAAAGCGGCCACCTCCAGAAAGGCGTTGTTCATTGGATTAATCCCTGTTGTATTGACTGTAGGTGTGTAACAACAATGGGAACTGCCACTGCAATTCTGGATGGGCACCTCCGTTCTGTAACCAGTCGGGCTACGGCGGCAGTGTTGACAGCGGTCCAGCTCACATAGGTAGTATAGTGAAACTGGCCTTCATTCTGCCTCCAGTGTCTGATAAAATACCTACTAATAGCAGGTTTTTTTCAGTCTCTTTTCAACTGTTTTTTTCTACTGCCTGGGACACTTAATCATGGACTGACTTGAGGAGCAAACATTATTATCTGGTGTGTGGGTTTGCAGACATGAAGGAAGTTGGTCCAAGGGAGACTTTGACCTCTCTTTTTGTCTGAGATAAAAAGCAATACATTAGTTGATTAGAATTACTGGGTTTTTTTTTAACTAGTTAGATATTTAGATATTTACTTAGGTATTTAAAACAGAGTTCTGATAAAATGGATATAACAGAGGAAGACTATAGCTTGAGAATGAAACCAGAAGCCTTTATATGTGGAAAGGGTCTCACAGAAATGAGAGGGGTTAAGGAGGTGCATGCAGCAAGTAGCAGTTGGCTCGGGTAAGAGCCATGAAATTCTGCAAAGGGAAACTGGAGTAGATTTTGCTGGCCTTCACACTGAGAGACCATGCAAGTGTGTTGTATTTATTAATAGCTTAGGAAGAGAAAGAAGATGTGCAGTTCAGTTGTGGGTAAGCAAATACAAAGTCTGCTTTAGAATTCTTGAAAAAATATATGGAAAAGGAAAATGTTCGTATATCATACAACATGGGCTGGGTAAGGCAGAAAGAACTTGTGATAACATAAGGCCAAATCCTACTTTTCTAATCAGAGCATTTGATAAATTTCAGTGGAGTTACTAGTTTTAATCCATAATAATTTGAAGATTGTAGTTCTTACAACAGACAAGTATTTTTAGCAGAAAAAAAATGCTTTCATATGAGGTTAAATAAGATTACTGTCTTACATTATTTTAATTCTTTTTCTCTAGATACATCACTTCGGGATGGTCTGCTTATTTTTTTCTTCCTTGTGTTGCCAGTAGTAATCATTACTGTATTAGCAGTAATTAAGCGTGACGCAATAAAAAGAAAGTTTTGCAGGAAAAGTAGAAGACAACACAGGTATATCACTTACTACCAATGCATATTTCAGTGCTTGAGAGCATGCTCCAGATTAATTTAGTAAGCCAGTTAGATGCTTTATCTATACAAAGAATTCCATACCTCCTGAAAGAAAAGACTTCCCTCCTACTAGTAGCAGTAAGTAGTTTAATAGCCAGTACCCTCCTATTAGGTAGTTTAATCCAGATACTCCAGCTGTCAGTTCTCAAGCATTTTTTCCCAAAATACATTGCATTTTCCTATAGTTATTGATAATTGTATTGAATGGACACGGGCACAGCGTATTGAAATTATTTGCCAAGGCTAGAAAGGAGTGGAGTCAGAAACAGAATCCTGATCTCTGAGCTGTCCCTTGTCCCTTGAAAAACAACTGCATCCCTGAAAGTAGTTAAACCAAATGGGGATTTGCCTGATGACATGGTTTTTATTTCAGGGATAACAATGTGCAGCAACCAAAGCAAAATAACATACCAAGTCGTAACACGAGAAATCATCAGGTAAGATGGATGCATACTTGCATTATTTCATGCTGAGTAATCCATATTATACAGTGCCTTTTCTCTAATATAGTTACTGATGACTTTGTGGCTTTTTGATACATTCAAACCATCTGAATGTCCAAGTAGTTAAAATAATTTATAATGTGTTAGGCAGGATTTCTGTTTTCCTAAGTATGAGCTTTGTTGCCTGCCCTGCCAACACAGGCTGTGGGTCTCTTTTTTCCATCTATGGGATGGAACAGGCTGCTACTTATCAGAGCAGACAAAGATTGAACTCTGAATTCTGTGGCCAAAAACCACAGAAGCTGCTTAGCTGGGCTGCGGATCTACTTCTGATAAAACAAAATAAAAATTATCAAAACAAAATGTTGCAAGAGAATATGACGAATGTCACAGCAAATGAAAATCAGTTCTAAAATACCGCTAGCTTAATACTGAATAATTAGCCACACTTTGATATCTGGGGGTTTTGTAATCTTGATTTTCTGTGATATCTTTTCTAGCCTGCCTCATCAAGTCCTGAGTTTTTTACCATATCACATTTCCCTGGTCCAAGGTTTGTAGTATTTAAAACCTTCTTTACTTCACATTTGCTGTGTTTACATTGCTGTATTATTGGAAATGAAGTTCTTAATGTCTCATGTCCTGCTTAGGAGGATTTTTCATGCAGCATCATATGAGATAAAATAGATTAAATGCTTGAAGGAGAAATGCTGTTTTACTGCTTGTATAGAAAACAGCGTAATGGAACTTGTAAATGCTACTAGTGACAGGGAGAGGAAAAGGGAGAGGGAGAAGCAGAGTTAAATAGATGTATAAATGCTAGCAACTATTTAAAAGTGGTAAAGAACCAGTTCAGCAATACCAGTTGTCTCAAGTCATGAAACACTTCACAAAATGTGTTTTCCACACTTCAGGCAGCCAGTACAAACCCAGTTTCCTCCAGTTCCTTCAGGACCTCAGCGACCTGCAGTCCTACCTAGACCAGCTGTCTGAAGTTTCCTGGGAACCCTCAAGCAATTCTGACAAGTAACTGATCTGAAAAAAATTAAAGATTGCAATCCTCCAGTCCTCTCGTTATGCAGCCAAAATGCGTTCTGGAAGCACGTACCTCTGGAAAAGACTTGATGCTAAGAGGCACAGAACACAGATTTTGTAACATCCCGTTATTTTGCTAATCGCTGCTGGTTGTATTTGTGCCTCTTCTACCTCACCTCTTTTTTTTACATCAGAAGCCTGAAGTAACTCTTGTTACATGAAATCTGTAACAGCATCAGAAAAACAGGACTCTTCTGAACCGTAGCCTTACTTGCAGGCCAAAGAGAAGTGAATTCAGTTATTTACAGACATAATTTATTCACCTCTAGTCATAGGCTGCTGTGAAAATGAGAACGTAGATTATCCTCTTGGGAAGTCTGCGGTGTCTACCTCCTGGACCATCCTCTCAGCAGTACGCTGCCGGGAACCTCCGTGGCTCCTGCTGCACGCAGCTGTACCCCACATGCCAGGCTTGCGGATGGTTCCTATGCCTTGCTCTGAGCCTTGTCTTGGGTCCAACCCTATCAGAGGTGGGATCCAGATCCCACCTCTGATTACCTGCTAGCTGCTTGCTTTCCAGTTCAGGTAGTTTATAAAAGTAACCTCATGTAGGGACTTTCTAGCAACAGAAAGAACCTCTGTAGCTAATGTATCTGAGTCTAAAAGAAACAAGCCATCTCTGCTGTTACAGAAAATGTGGAATATCAGGACGTACATTATACAACCTAACAGTGTTTTAATGTTTACTGGTTGTTACACTTTGAGATTTTTGCTAGAAACTGATTCCACTACAAAAGCAGCAGGTAACTTTTGTCATTCTAAATGGGATAATTGGGAAATGGTACCAATTTAAAATAAAATGTATGAAGTTACATAGTTTGTCAAAATGGGAACTTATGGAAAAGAAGCTGCTATGCAGGGGAAAACTCACTTGCGAGAACAAAGCTGTGGATGCTGATCAGTGTACATCAGAGAGTAAATCACATACTGACCCTGTTCACATGCAAACTTTGGGAATATGAACTAGCAAAAAGAGTGAATAAATTGTAGAATGGCCTCGCCAAGAAAATATTTCTAGTCCCTTAGATGGTGATTTCAGAGAAGAGCTGGACGAAGGAACCCAAAACAGCAGGCAAAAATCTGCATTGGCAAGGAGTATCTTCTGAAGAAGTGTTGTCTTTCTTAATTCCTTAGAATCTTAAATTGCTATTATCAATTAAATATTCCTATCATTTAGACCTTATTCACGAGCACATTACAATAATTTAACATAAATGATCTGTGTCAGCAGACTTAGCGTCTTGATTTTATGATAACAATAACCACTGCTGGGCACATCCGGGATCACTCAGCCGCCTGACGCTTCTGCGTTCACTAAAATGTCTTACTGAATTTATTATCAAAATAAAATTGAGTAAAACCGGTTGTTTCACGCACACGGTCAGACTGGACTCTGGAGCTCCCGGCGCCGACGCGCTGAAAGCTCCGCGCCC